CTGTGCAGGAGTAATTGGTATTTGATAGCTCGCGACACGTTTATGATGCGGACGCGACGATATTGAAACGGTTTCGAGGCGAGATCGAAACGAGCAAATTGGATGAGTTGTGAACTGAGTGATTGTGATTATAGAACTATTTATGACTATTAGCGAGATGATTTACTAAATAGCTTGGTAATAAAGATTTCACGCGAATTATCTCATTATCAGAACTGAGCTTTGTGCGTATCGCCAGGCCTGTTCATCTCCGCGAGTTTACATCAAAAACAAAACAAGCACGATGGCACCCTACAGGATTACTATTCGACAAGGCCTCACATACGAGCGAGCATTGACTCACGCACGCGTATTCTTGTGTATGATGGAAAAAATAATATTATGCTTATTCATGCTTAATCATGTATTTCCTCCGCCATTTTTTGCAGTTTGGCACCTCACGTCACACATTATTTTACCGAAGTCAGCCCAATGGCTTCGGCGCAGTCTCGATCACAGACGTTTGTCAACAAAATGGTGTCAAGCAATCTAAATTGCACAATATTGTTAATGACATTGAGCATACATTTTTTTAAATACCTTCGCGAAGTAAACCTTCTGTACGTAGTACTTATTATTATTCTGTGGTATCGCATCATGTGATGAATGTTATAAATTCATTTTATGAATAATATATTTGTTACTATTTTCTACTCGCATTTCATTACTAGTTTCCGTGTGAGGCTTTAATCTTACCCAAAGCATAATGATGACGAGTTTCATATGACTTCTTGAATAAAGTGCCTTTTGTTTTCACGTAAACAGTCAATACAATCTTTGTCCAAAAACCAATCAGTTTTTCTTTCAGTCATTTTCATAACATAATATTCCTTCACAATTTCTCCCAAAGCTATTCGTATGCGAACATTCTATTCTTAGCCCATACATGTGGCATAAATATCTAAAATTACTATCTGAATAGATTCAGTATTTTCGTACATAAATCTGAAATTGAGCAATACACAACATGAAAGTTGGTACGAAATTGATTAACGTAATTAAAATCAAAATTGTTCGCAGAATACCTCACAATGCAAGAATTCGACCTGAAACCTGAAGGCGGTGTAAAATTGGTCTTATTATAGGCAGTCACGTCTTTAGGGGGGTAGGGGGGAGGGATATTTGTCTATCTCTATTACTGTAATTGGGGATCCCTTTGAAATTCACTCGTAAAGTGTGGGGTGACCATCGATCGCTAATGACGTTAGGACCAGTCCTAGTTTTATTCAAAATTCAATAACGATACCTCGATGGCTCCTACGTATACTGGCGTAAAAGAAAAAAATAGATTTTACAGGAGAGCCATTTCAGTAGCCAGTTACTGACCTCATCATCATCATCATCTCAGCCATAGGACATAGGCACATTAGGCACTGCTGAACATAGGCCTCCCCCAATGCTTTCCATGTTGCCCGGTTGGTAGCGGCCTGCATCCAGCGCCTTCCTGCTACCTTTATGATGTCGTCGGTCCACCTTGTAGGTGGATGTCCCACGCTGCGTAAAACGGAAAACCACCGGAAAACGATACCTACCAATTACTAAATTGAGATAATTGAGATAAATGCCGATTCAAGGGTCACTAGTTCGATCCCCGTCGACCGTTAGACTATTGTAGCAAACCAACTCCTCACCTAAGCATATTAGATAATCATCAAGTCATTTACTTTTCACTGCAGGAGCGAAAGTAACTCTGTCTGTCTGTCTGTCTCTCTTTCACGCCTAAACCACAGAACCGATTTTGATGAAATTTGGCATAGAGATAGTTCGAGTCCCGGGAAAGGACATAAGATAGTTTTTATCCCGGTTTTTGAAACAGGGACTCGCGCGATAAAGTTTTTCTGTGACAGACAAAATTCCACGCGGGCGAAGCCGCGGGCGGAAAGCTAGTAATGTATAATTTCAAAATGCAGCTGGTTTAAGGGTCACTAGTTCGATCCCCGTCGACCGCTAGACTAATAGTGGACCAACTCTTCACCTAAGCATAATTTCGTCGTTTTTTAGCTTTCACTTCGTCAAGTCATTTAGTTTTCACTGCAGGAGCACAATTCTCTAACTTTACCAAAGGCATAAGGTAGATTTCGCCGCTACCGCTTAATGTCTGGGTTCAGATTGGTAAATTAGGGTCACTCCTACTTTGCTTGTAGATGTTGTTAAAGGGGTCCCTTTGTAGGAAAAAATATGCAAACATTAAGCAAGCAAACATAATTAAATACACATGAAACGGAATTTTACAGCAATATTATTTACTTCTACAAAAACCTACCTTTCTTTGGGTCTGTCCTGTACCCAGTGGCGGATTAACGTATAAGCACTACAAGCACGTGCTTGGGGCCCCTGTTCTCCAGGGGCCTCCATCCTCTGCTGGCGCGCCAGCAGAGGATGGAATTGGAGGCGTTTCATTTTATACCTACATTTTATCGAGATTTAGCCTATGTTACTCGTGAGTAATGTAGCTTTCAAATGGTGAAAGAATTTTAAAAAACGGTCCAGTAGTTTTTGAGCCTATTACAACCAAACAAACAAAGTTTTCCTCTTTATAATATTAGTGTAGATCAATGATATTATATAAAAAAATATCATTGGTGTAGATAAAGTAAAGTGCGTTTTCCCAAATATACAAGTGGCGTTTAAAGAAAGAAAGAAAGAAAGAAAGAAAAATTTATTACGATGAACATCACTTATACATGACAGAGAATGTACACAGAAAAAAAGACAGAAATGGCATATAAATATTACAAGGAAATAAAAAGTGAACTGAGCAGTGAGCAGTGCTATCCTGTCGCAACAGCGATGCCCATCGCAATGGGATTCCACTCAGCATATGCCGTGGCCCACGGTGGGGAAGGCCACGACGCTGGTTTTCAGTGGGCCCCATGCCGGATGAAAGTCACGGACACTAACCTAAACTGCATATCAACAAGGCCGTTTAAATATAGGTATAACAATAATAATAATGTGCAAACATTTGTTGAATAAACATAAACATAATAAAATAATACCCCTATTAAAATAATAATAATTGTGTATCGTTCGTTCGTTNGCTACTGTATAGTCTAGTCCGTGAGCACGTAGAATTTTGTCCAATGACCCCTAGCTACCCATCCTTATCGCTCGCGCGTAATTATGTTGCTATCGCGCTCGCACACTCACTGCGGGTGCCAGTCGCACAGTCGCGACAGCAATATAATTACGCGCGAACGATAAGGATGGGTAGCTAGGGGTCATTGGACAAAATTCTACGTGCTCACGGACCAGGCTTTAGGAAGCTAGCAAACATAATTAAATAGACACATGAAACGGAAATTTAGAGTAATATTAATCTACCTTTCTTTGGGTTTTTGTCCTGTATAATAGATACAGGATATTATTACTGTGTCAATAAAGTTATTTCTATTTACCCCCACCTGTAGGCCTAAGATGCGCGCCGTGATAACTTTTATCGACGTCAAAATGTATGGGCAAAATCGATAAAATGGCGTGATAACCGCTTATCGCGGCGCGCATCTTAGGCCTACTGGTCTCCAAAAGTCTCCAAGCCACAGTCACTGTACCCCAACTAAGGGATATATAACAGTTACTCAGCAAACTTGCCGCGTAAAATTTAATCCAGATGCGTCTCTCATTCTAAACTCGATTAGTTAAAGTTATTAACGTTGTTAGTTCTGTACAGACATCAACGCAAACATTGTGACATCTGAAGTACTTGTAATAAGAGTGAGTTTGTACTAAATAGGTATGTTAGTGTGATGTGCGGTTAACTGTACGAAGCACTTTGCGGAATCTGTTGCGATTATTACTTCTGTTGAGTGTACAACAACAGCAAATCAGAGTATTTTATTGTAAAATATCTCTTATTACTACCAGGGATGTTATGGATATCCGTAACCGCAACTTTCGGATATTCGAAATAAAAAAATATCCGAAACCGTAACCGATTCAAAAGTTTCGTATAGTTTCGGATGTAGGCAGTTTAAATTATTTTTTGTAAAACATTATAATGTAAAGGCCTATCAGCTTGATTTACCTTTATTTATTTATTTATTAACACCAACAAGCCATTTATAATGCCATCTAGTATTAATTTTTATTTTTTTATTAGGTACTTTTTATTCGATGTAAAGTGTGCGGCCATGAATGAACCGTTTTGGACAACTATTGCAAATTGCATTCTAAAGCACAGATATCCGTAACCGTAACCGAAACTTTCGTATATCCGAACTAAAAAAATATCCGTAACCGTAACCGGTATAATATTATTCCTATATTCGTTACCGTATCCATAACCGAAACTACATATATCCATAACATACTTAATTACTACCACTTAAGATGTTACAGTGTTCTGTACATGTTTGTGAAAGCAATTTAGTAAGTACTCGTGGGTAAATACATAATAATTATTTAGAGCACAGCGTGGGCTCATAAAGTCACACGTATGACAAATGTTTAAGCCATCTCTATACATTGGCACAGAATAAGTAATAGTAGGAGAGGGGGGCAGCTTTGGACAGGGGCAGCTTAGAACAAATGAATTTAAAAATCACTGGTTTAGGCTACAATGGTATAAATCATAATTTATATTGCCAGCACTGATGCGCATAGACGTCACATCTCATTTTTAATATCTAACTGTAGGTTAACCGGCAAAAGTGGTTTTTTGTTTTTGACTGCCAATTTCGCACTTTTTTATTTTGGTTCTAAGGATTTTGTGGACGTAGTTTTATAAAATAGTGAGTGGTTTGTTTACTATATGGAAGTTTAAATAGTTTCGATGAAGATTTGATAAGAAATTGCGATATAAAAGTATGTTCCGTTATTAAATTTATGTTTTTTTCTGGAAATATACCCATGGGGCAGCTTTGAACGAAATAGTTGGGGCACCTTTGAACTTTANGACTTGATGATATTTGATTGATGAAATTATTTAAACTTAAGTCGGTGTCCCTTTACAAGGATGCGCAATGCCAAAAACTAGGGCGTGGAAGACCAGCTTCTTGACATGCCATAGTGAAATAAGGTGCACTGTCCCTACTGTATTACCTGGTCTCGGTAAATAATAATCTTATGCCCGTTTTCACCATCAATCCCAAATTTTTAAGTTACCCCTATGGTAACAAATAACATGAATTTTGTTTTCAAAGGGGTCACTTAAAAATAGGGTTTGATGGTGAAAACGGGCATTAGAATCTTTGCCCTTTCAATGCTGACCGAAAGCCTGTTGGCACAGTATTAACTGCCATTATTTTAGTTTTTTGTACCTCATCAATGTTCCTAGCTCAATATTTTGTATTTCTATGATAATTAATTTAAATACAATTAATTTCCAGGTGTCGGCCTGCTGGAAAACGACGAAATACTAGTGACAACAGAGAACGCGGGCATATCGTTCGCGGAGATAAACTCGACGAGTAAACTGACGCAGGAGGACGCAGACAACGGCGAATGGCACGGGAAGATACGGATATATGGGGAATTCTTAGGTGAAGCACATGTTTTAATAATAAAAACAACTTTATTTGACACTAGCTCTTCACCCACGGCGTGGAATTTTTCAGTTTTTTATACCTATGACACTCAGCAATAATGTGGCTTTCTATTGGTGAAAGAATTTTTAAAATCGGTTCAGTAGATCCCGAGATTACCCATTACAATTTAACAAATATACAAATTACTTTACCTCTTTATAATATTAGTTTAAATGTATAGATAACAAGACAAAAAAAAAACAAGATTAACGATTCATGCTTGCACAGAACTTGTTTTGTCGTAAATAGCAGATAAACAAAACACTGCGTACTTAACTAAAATGTTTTGATAGCAAAGTAAGTTACATACTCGTACTTTATTTATGCTCGGAAAAGTAATTTAATAAGCTACGAATAAGTACGAAAAAATTATGAAGTCTTTCACTGTAACTTCTATGTAAGGTCCGGTCGCCGAGCAGATATAATTTCGACCAATGACCCCAAGCTACCCATCCTTATCACTCGCGCGTAATTATATTGCTCTCGCGACTATGCAACGGGCGGCCGCAGTGAGTGTGCGAGCGCGACAGCAATATTATTACGCGCGAACGATAAGAATGGGTAGCTCGGGGTCATTGGACAAAATTCTGTGTGCTCGGCGACCGGACTTTAGAATGTTGCCATTTTCACGCAGTTTCTGACCAATTAAATATTGTCGATATATTCCTTACAATGAAAAATTCGTTCTATTCCAGGGAGGACAAACATAGGCATCCGTGCGGCACGCAACGGCGAAATTTCCGCCGCCAACGAGACAGTGTCCGTCATTGTGACGCGCCCAGAACGCGTCATTGACACCATCTTCACTGCCAGCATTGCTCTCTTTGTAAGTTTCCTCTTACTACACCAGGGAGGACAAACAGGCATCCGTGCAGCACGTGACGGCGAGATCTCCACACCGCCAACGAGACAGTGTCTGTCATTGTGACGCGCCCAGAACGCGTCATTGACACCATCTTCACTGCCAGCATTGCCCTCTTTGTAAGTATCCTCTTAATATACCAGGGAGGACAAACATAGGCATCCGTGTGGCACGCAATGGCGATACCTCCGCCGCCAACGAGACGGTGTCCGTCATTGTGACGCGCCCAGAACGCGTCATTGACACCATCTTCACTGCCAGCATTGCCCTCTTTGTAAGTATCCTCTTAATATACCAGGGAGGACAAACATAGGCATCCGTGTGGCACGCAATGGCGATACCTCCGCCGCCAACGAGACGGTGTCCGTCATTGTGACGCGCCCAGAACGCGTCATTGACACCATCTTCACTGCCAGTATTGCCCTCTTTGTAAGTTTCTATTTATTATCCAGCAGTATTTGTAAAGCAGTGTCTCAAGAATGAAGTCTTTGACCGTTTCCTTGTGTGAGAACGACAATCCGTTTACCAGAGGCTAAAAGATCATTTGGCCTACACTCCACACGATGGATAAGACGGTTTGGGCAGGCCTAAAAGGAGTCTTCTTTTACCATTGATTACACAAATAAATTGCAAAATCGCATTTTGTCAGCTCATATACAATACCGTAAATTTATTTGTGGTATTAACTAACTATACTTTCATCGTGATCGTCTGGTAATTTAGTCACTACTGACACTACTGAAGGACAACCCTCTCTAATTTACCAGAGGCTAATGGAGGATTAGATTTAGCCTACTTACTGGACTCGGAGGTCTGATGTTTGCATATTCGTCCTTTAGTAGCCTCTTACAACATCCACAAAAAGAGTGGAGATGTTCTTATTCTACTCTGCTGGAACCACGCAGCTGAACTTAACTGTACTTTAATGACGTATGATTTGTTGTCAGGTGTCCCTTATCTTCATAAACTTCGGCTGCGCGATGCACTGGCCCACAGTTAAAGAGGTGCTGAAGAAGCCCATAGGACCCGTCATTGGGATGGTCGGACAGTTCATATTTATGCCTTTGGTAAGTATACTCGAACTTATAGAAGTTAACTTAAGTTAAAAGATTCTATAGATTTAACTTTTCTTAAGAAGTCCGGATAAGGTAAAGTTCCACCATATTTTCTTAAAGTCGAGGAAAAAGGGGGATGTCATTGATTTCTTTATGTTCATCAGAAATCATGATATAACGTAGAATTCTACCATTTAGTTTTTGAAGCCAAATGTTGTTTAAAATTGAATTATGTGAACAGCTTTATTCGACAGGATTTACATGACATGACATAAATAAGTGTAATCGAAGTTCATTTGTTGGTATATCTAAATAAATAAAACATTTTTTTCCAGATGACGTTCGGTCTCGGCTTCCTGATCTTCCCGGACAATGCGGCGCTTCACTTGGGAATGTTCATGACGGGAGTGGCTCCTGGCGGTGGTGCCTCCAACATCTGGACCTTCATCCTGGGCGGGAACCTGAACCTGTCGCTTGCTATGACGTCGATATCTACTATATTCTCCTTCGGTGAGTCTTCATTCTTTAGTTCTTACGTTTTAGCCAAATGACGTTCACTGGGAACTTTAACTTGTCGCTCGCTATGACGTCCATATCATTCTCTTTTGGTGAGTACTTGGGGCAATATGTCTCCCAAACTACGTCACGCTTCACTTAGGAATGTTCGTGATGGGCGTAGCTCCCGGAGGCGGCGCTTCCAAAATCTGGATCTTTATATTGGGTGGAAACCTGAACCGTTCGCTCGCTATGACGTCTATATCCACTATATTCTCCTTCGGTGAGTAGTGCTTAGGGTTAATGTCTTCCCAGACATTGCGGCGACTTGGGACAATATATGTTCCCAAACTACGTCACGCTTCACTTGGGAATGTTCATGCGTACGTGACGAGCGTTCTAACATCTGAACCTTCATCCTGGGAACCTGAATCTGTCGCTCGCTATGACGTCTATATCCACTATATTTTCCTTCGGTAAGTGCTTGAGGCAACGTCATCCCAGACTACGTCACGCTTCACTTAGGAATCTTTATGATGCGCTTGGCTCCAACATCTGGACCTTTATCCTGGGCGGGAACCTGAACCTGTCGCTCGCTATGACGTCTATATCCACTATATTCTCATTCGGTGAGTTCTTGAGGCAATGCGTCTTCCGAAACTACGTCACGCTTCACTTAGGAATGTTTATGCGTACGTCAAGAGAGTACTATCATCTGAACTTTCATCATGGGCGGGAACCTGAATCTGTCGCTAGTTATGGACGTTGATATCCACTACATTCTTTTCGTCGGTCTACCCAGTAGGAGGTGTGCCCAAACTACGTCATTCGGTCCGTGGGATATGCCCCGCCCACTACCATTAAGTTTGACGATTCTTCGGGCTATGTCGGTTCTTATCACCTTCTCTAAATTTCCACGGGGAAGGCCCAGGCATGCCCATAGGTGGGCAGTCTTGTTGTCCTAGTTCTTTGAAGCAAACTTTTGTCAAATGTAGAGAATAACACCGCAACAAACTCAGACACATTTGGTTCTGTAATGTTTGGCACTGGACGGGGTGCAGTGTATAATTTCCAATAATATTTAGACTGAGTTGCACCATCTTACTTTAACTTTGACAAATGTCAAATTATCTCTTAAACTTCATACAAAAAACACCGGTTATTGTTACGGTTATTATAAGGTGATGCAAGTGGTGCCGTTTAGGCGCGATTAGTCCAATTCGCGATTGGACCAATTCGCTTTTTTCTGCATAATTAGTAAAAGTTGAATAACCTCTTTATTTTTTTCATTTTGGATAACCTTTTATGTTGGACCAATTGGCCCAATCGCGAATATGTATTTTTTTCTGAATTGGCCCAATCGCGAATATGTATTTTTTTCTCGATTGGACCAATTGCGAATTGGACCAATCGCGCCTAAACGAAGTGGTGCAACTCATCAGATGTTTATTTATTCAAATGTGCGATAAAGATTTTCTATCCCTATTTTCTTCCCCAGGTTTCATGCCACTCTGGATCTTCTCTCTCGGGCAAGTGGTATTCGCGAATGCCAACATTGGGGTGCCATATACCAACGTGATAACGTTCGTGGTAGGCCTCCTGGTGCCTATGAGCATCGGTCTGGCCATGCAGCGATTTACGCCCAAAATAGCAGCGTTTATGGTCAAGATATTAAAGGGATTCTCAAGCACGCTGCTGATATTCATCATAGTGTTCGCTATTGTGACGAACCTGTATATATTCCAGCTGTTCACTTGGCAGGTTAGTTGTTTTTGCTTCGTACGTAGACGTAGATTATCTACGTCTGCATTAAAAAAAATATTACATCAATTAATTATTATAAAAAACACCATCTTTTATTCTCAATGATTGCAACACTTTAAAATTTTATGTACAAATATTAAAAAGAATTGGATGGAAAACCGTCTGGAGAACCGGCCAGCAAGTTATAATACGTTACAAAAACTAGTGCTTAGAACGCGTTATGGCTTTTTGTCATTGCCACAACGCCTCGTGAACTTTTCAAAAGAACCATTCGGCCTAGGAGGCGTATCTTACATTACATAAACTCGTTGTCAACAAATATGGTCTAAAATCGATTAAATGTCTCGATAACACTATATTGTGGCGGGCAGTCTAAACTAGCATTTACAACACTAATTTCCCGATATGCATCTTATACAACAGCCTCAAAACGTAGAGTTAATTCACAATTTCACAGAGATTTTAGTCTCGGAACGAATCTAAATATATACATATAACTCAAAGGTGAATGATTGACATAGTGATCTATCAACGCATAGCCCAAACCACTGGACGGATCGGGCTGAAATGTGGCATGCAGGTAGATGTTATGACGTAGGCATCCGCTAAGAAAGGAATTTACGAAACTCCACCCCTAAGGGCTAAAACGGGATCCACGCGTACGAAGTCGCGGGCGGCCGCTAGTCATAAAATATATGTGTTCTTTTATTCCGTAACATATTCCTTCCTTCAACAGATAGTAGTAGCGGGCATGGGAATCCCGTGGCTCGGCTATATGTTCGGCTACGCGCTCGCGCGGATCTTCAAGCGGCCGCATAAGGACGCGCTCGCCATCTCCATCGAGACCGGCATCCAGAACACAGGCATCGCCATCTTCCTGCTGCGCTATGCGCTGAGTCAGCCTGAGGCGGACATCACTACAGGTGACTAGAAACCATTTGTTTTTTTTTTATGCATAACAAGGCAGGTATTTGACCACAATCGCACCTGATGTTAAGTGGGATGCAGTCTAGGATGGACATCTAGGTAACTTATCACCTGTCATCCGCTTTACAATGGAGGGAAGACGAACCTTAACTTCGAACTCCTCCTATATGTTCTTCTAATGAGGGCTATCGTTTTAGCGCTCACCAGTTGGCGCCNTTTTTTTTTATAATATCCCTAAGTTTTGTATTACTTTGTACAGAGTGATGTAAAATAAAATAAACATGTTAAATTGATCCCAAATGACACTGATCACTTAAAATTTTGTTTATTAATTATTTTAAAAATACACATTTATAAATATTCAGTTTTAATTCATTGAAAAAAATACTAATTCAAAACTGCCCCAGGCGTGTTCAAGGCTGCCCCGACTACGGGGCAGTTTTGAACGTTTACAGGTCTGTGCAAAAATCTAAATATCTTAATAAGCGTTCATTTATAATTAAGAAGAACATCATTATTTTGTTGTGTGATAACCATGACCTCTATCTAGGAAGAAAAAATTAATGAAATCGTTCAAATTTCGAAGATATTTAATAAAGTATGAAAATTGTTCAAAGCTGCCCCCCTCTCCCCTACAGGTACAGAAGGATTACTCCGCAAGACGATTTAAATAAATGCGAGTCTTGCTACGACGCGATACAGTGGAATTCAGCTCGCACAGCACTACGTACCTACAATTTTATTCACCTACAAGTTTTGTCTCTTTCTATCGCGTACCTCTGAACTCTTCTTACGCTGTTAGGGTTGCTGTCTAGTGAAAAAATTATGTCCATTTTTAAATAAAACTTCGATCGTAGAATTAGATACTACAACTCACGCCAGCGTCCTGGCGGGCGCGCACGACACTCGACTGATATAATACCCGCCGGCGGGGCGCTTCGCTGTAGGTAATTATCGGATGTACCGCGCGGAGTGAGCCAGGCCTGACATTGGGTATATGTTGGGCCAATCTGTTGGCCCAACAAGATATGAACTGTAAGAGTAGGCGCACACCGTTGATTTGAAGTTGGCCGATAGTTGTGCCCGATTTTAAATTGTATGAAGAATCGGCCATATCGAATCGGCGTAGTGTGCGCACTCCCATACATGCCCATACTGATCAACTGCCCGACTAAACTATCGGCCGACGAAAAATCAACGGTGTGCGCCTACTCTTAGTCTAGCTCCTAACTCAGTCAATACCTGACGTATGGGAGCGGCACGGGGGGTGGGGGTGTTTTTGTAACGTCAAACGTCCGTCAGCGAGACTTCAGCCCCCCTCCCTAGACAAAACGCACTTTTTGATCGAATCGAAAATCGAATCCGTCAAAACTCCATACAAAAAAGGGGCTTTTCGACCACTTTTCGACTGGTTTGCGATTATAATTTGCACTTTGTCTAGACCCACAGATCTTCTTCAGATTTATGTTATGTCACGTCATAATTATGTCAATTGTCAATGTCACCCCTTCCATGCAGATCTCACACCTTAGGCACTCAGAATTTTTCGTTTGACCTCAATCTCAATACTAACAAATAACGAATAAATCCAAAATCAGTCCTTCTAAATAAAGACTATTTACTCCAGTTTTAACATCTATATTTAAAGTTATAAACCACAATCAACAACAATAATTGTTCTATTTGTTAAAATTCTAACATTCTTATAAATACCCCTGTTACTTTACCCCTCCCCTCAATACGCCCCTACGTAACGCCAATTAACTAGTGATGCAACGAATACGAATACGAATATTCGTATTCGCCGAATGGAAGACATTTACCGAATATTCGTATTCGGTAAAATAATAATTACGAATACGAATTCCTACTTTTTTTTAATTTTGTCACACACGTGTGTGTCTCCGAACACTATAGCCACAACGATACGACGAGAAACCCCCGGTCAGTATGTAACATAGTAGTAAGCAAGTTCTCTTCTGGAATTTGACAGTCAATAGCAGGTCGATTGTACAAGTATTATTTTGTTTTGTGATTAGTTACAAACTAAAGTGATACAACAATGCCAAAAAAATGCCATTTGTAAATAATTACTAAAACATTAACCATGATAAAAAAGAGTTTAATTTATGAGTATTTCATGACTATGTAGAGATATTCGTATTCGCCGAATAGTAGATTTAATATTCGTATTCGTAAAAGTAGTATTCGTTGTATCCCTACTAAAGCCTGGTCCATGAGCACGTAGAATTTTGTCCAATGACCCCAAGCTACCCATCCTTATCGCTCGCGCGTAATTATATTGCTGTCGCGACTGTGCGACGGGCGCCCGCAGTGAGTGTGCGAGCGCGACAGCAACATAATTACGCGCGAGCGATAAAGATGGGTAGCTTGGGGTCGTTGGACAAAATTCTACGTGCTCACGGACCAGGCTTTATTAACAAACACATGAATATAATAACACAGCGTGTCACGTCAGCAATTAGCCGCTACGACAATCGTAACGACAGCGCTACGGTCCGGCTATCGATTCGGGCTATTTCCGCTTCCGTCTACACGCTACGACAACGAGGGTGCGAGCGAATTCTATTGGACGTTGATGAGCTATTTTTAGTCGTGAAAAGATGATATTGAACGTTAAAAATAGAGCTACGATTTTTGCTACAAAATTGCTTTGTTTGAAGTTTACTGATACATGTTTTCTTTAATTATATTTTAACTGTTATTGTCCGAAAAGGTGAAGACAAAACAGGTATTTATTATTTAAGAAAATGTAAACATTATTAGTTACTTTCATATAAAAGATTTTGCGTCTGAATTTTATTAAATCGATAGAATAAAATGGTGACAGTAATTTCCTGACAGTCTATATTTATCGATAACACTGTCTTGTTATTGATTTTAATAATAAAACCCAAAACTCTTAATTAGTAGGCAATTCGTATGTGCATTTGAGGGATTGTTCCAAAAATACTTCTCACGGCTTTCATGCAAATGACAGTTCCACAGACGATGTCCAGTTGGTACATGAAATGGTAATTCTGACAGTGACGAGTGGACACATTCGAAGCGATTTGACGTACACGATGCGCCAATCATAGTATTGGCTGTCTCACGAAGTGGGAATTCAAATTCAGCTATTTTTGATGACGATCTACATACATGATTACGTTATAAAAATAAAAATGTCAAATAGAACATCGACATAATTTTATTATTATTAAATTGCCAATTACTTTATTACAGCACAAACAAAAATATTGGCATACGAATCAAGTAAAACTTGAGAAATAATTACTCGTAGATTTCCACTTTTAAATTTTCCACGAAAATGTATTAGGAATATGAAGTATTTAATTTAATAACAGAAAATTGTCACCTCGTTTCATATGAATTTTAAAGAAAAGTGTAATTCTAATCGTATTTATAGAATGGGTAAAATGAAATAATGTTGTAATTACATTCAGCAAATTATTCAGCGAATATATTCAGACTCCATTTTTTAAACAGATACATTCTGAGAATTATTACTTCAATTTGTAGTATAAGAATATGAGAATTATGATAAAAACATTATGAAGAAGGAACATCGTTTATGTTACTTCTATTAGCAATCGCTATAACCTTGTATATTTTGATTAAAATTTTCTTTACGATACTTTTCAATGGCTATGTAACAGTAATATTTGGCCGACATTTTTTGCCAGTTATTGATAAGATACGCACATGTATTTAGATAACTTCGCCATACTTAATTCTTCATAATAAAAAATTGAAAACTGATAAGAAGATTATTGAAGAAAACCCAAACACTTATAAGTTAAAACTAATCTGTAGTTTTTGTTTGTTATTTTACGATTCACGTAAACAATCGATTATTTTATGCATAACGCTGATAAGCCCTTGCAATAGAAAATTTTGAAAATCAATAAAATCTATAGTGAAAAAAACAATGATATCTCAGACACAATCACTCATATACTAGTTTTTGTTCACATCATAAAAGTAGCACTATTATTAACATAAATGTTAGATCCATTGATACTCGGGAACACACCACTAGCAACAAATATAATCATTTTTGCAACATCATAAGGATCTAACGCTTTGATCAATCGCTGTTTTTCCAACTCACTGTACACCATTTCTGATTCTTCATTACTTAAATTCAAATTCTGAAGAGCATTCGTTTTGACCAGTGAAACGCTTATAGCATTAACTTTAACGCCAACAGTGCTCATATCCACTGCAGCTGCTTTGACCAGTCTTTCCACTGCAGTGTTGAAGATTGAATAACCAAGGAAACCAGGTAGACAAACGTCAGATTGTCCGGCTGCTACTAAGATAACATTGCCTTTAGTTTTGGTCAAATGCGGCAAAGCCAGATGCATCAACTGATACGGCACTCGCAGATTGATTTTGTAAAGATCATCAAACGATAGTATGTTTTCATCAAACAGAGAATTGAGGACGAGTTTTCCTGCACAGTTGATCAGCACGTTCAGTTTTCCAAATTTGTTTATCGTCCTTTTTATAGCTTCTTCACAGTTGCCTTCTTCTGTCAAGTCGAGGTTGATTGTCAATGGTTCTAAGCCATTGCGTTCTTGACAGCATTTGGCGACAGCATTTAATCTTTCAACGTTCCTACCAACTAGGGCTAAAGTGGCGTTGAATCCTGCCAATTCTTTGGCTGAGGTGGCCCCGATACCCGAACTAGCACCAGTTAGTAACACCACTTTCCCCGTGAAATCCATCGCGTCCTTACGACGTGGCAAATATGGGTACACTAACTCTGTTTTCGCGTTTCGTACACAAAATATCATATCTGAGAGATAAAGCGTGATAAGAAATGTTATTTCCATGATAAGCTTTCATATAAGTAATATTTATCTACTCGGTGCTATAACCATTGTTCCAGAAAGATAGCGTCTTTATTGAGTTAGGTTATGGATTACAAGTTACAGTTATCTTTGATAGTGCACCTTCTTGCATCTTCTTCTTGTCGTGTCGTTTGACGTTGTCTTACATTAATACATTTACCGCTGTCAATAGATTTGTATGGAAACGCACTGTCGCCACTGAAATACATGTCACCCAGAATTTGTACTTTTATGTGTGTCATCTATACTTATAATAAATCTGTAGAGAGGTCAATTCTGTACATGAAATATATTTTCAAAATAACTACCAGGGGGTGATTAGTGATCGATACTGATGCCAAAAATGCAATCAGTAAAATTTTTGTCTGTCTGTCTGTCTGTCCGTCTGTCTGTCTGTCTGTCTGTCTGTATGTTCCTTATAGAAACAAAAACTACTAGACGGATTTTAACGAAACTTGGTACAATTATTCTTCATAATCCTGAGCAGGTTATAGTATACTTAGGAATTCCCACAGGAACGGGAATTGGCGGGAAAATCCTTTTGTATGAAAAACCTAAACCGCTTAAGTTAGACGCTTGAAATTTGGCATGCAGGTACCTCAGTAAACGTAAAGCTTAGTTACAACAGGATATTGCAAAATTCCAACGGGAACGGGAGTTAGCGGGAAAAAACATTAGTATGAAAAAATCTAAACCGCGTAAGATAGATGAAGGGGGTAAAACGGGATCCACGCGTACGAAGTCGCGGGCGGCCGCTAGTTAAAAATAAAATTAGGTAACAATCACTTCCAATATTTAAGTTAAGACAACTCAAAATAAGTTTTTTTTAGTTAACACAGTTTTGAACTAGAAAATTGTGCCATTCTCTTTCACTATATCAGCTGGTTACACATAATGTATGGGAAAAGGAACACATCATCACGGCCATATTAGCCGCGCGCTATCTCCGCACCATTAGTTGGATTGAACGTTCCCTTTTGTTTGCCACTGTGTGTATTGTGTCGGTGGTGTGTGGTGTACGAGGAAATTCTCCATTTTTTTCCTTTTTCAATTTAATTCTTGTTTCTTAGCTAACGGTTTTCGAATCCGTGAAAAGTACTGGTATAAGGAGTTGACGTAGGCGTTTTTACCCGACTGCGCTAGAAGGAGGGTTATGTTTTCGAATCATTTATCAATGTGAAAGTAACTCTGTTTGTCTTTGATGAATAAATATTTAGATATCTATGTACTTATACAATGTGTCCAAGGAAAAACTATCGAAACTTTATGAGCGTGATCTATGGACAATTTTATCGATCATATCAGGGTTCCAGCATGTAGGTCTGAAGCACATCTAAAGTCGTTCTGACGTTTGAAGTTACAAAAACACTCTCCCATGCCGCTTCCTTACCTCGGGCACTGATTCAAGTTACGCGATAGACCCGGCTTTTACTCGTGGTCCCCCCAACATGTCCGCCTGGCGGGTCCACGGGTAATTTTTTTTACCCGTTGTCCCACCGTTCTGAACAGTGTTTGCCAGTGGGTCTAAGGGTAATTTATTTTAACCATGGTCCCATCGCCCGCACTAAGTGGCAAACATTGCTTGTCACCTATGTCTGGGATGAAATATCAAACGCCGAGTAGGATATGAGTGACTTTAACCCACATGTGTCATGTGAAGATATTATAAAGATATTATGGTGCCGTACCTACCTATAATTATTTTCAATATTAATTATAGATTTTTTTATAATATTATAGATACCTAGGCTAGGTGACAAGCAATGTTTGCCACTTAGTGCGGTGGGACCATGGTTAAAATAAATTACCCCTAGACCCACTGGCAAACACTTTTCAGAACGGTGGCACAACGGGTAAAATAAATTACCCGTGGACCCACCAGGGGGACATGTTGGGGGGACCACGGGTAAAAGCCGGATAGACCTATAGTTATTTAACCTTTAAAAGTTCTTTAGACATTGTGGTGTGGTACAGTGCGCGTCGAATAGTTTGTGACACCCAAAGTAGCCAATAAGTTCGCAAGACGTCTTTGTTGCAACTGAAATAAGGTTGTTGTTAACGTTTATACTTTATTCTGATACAATTATAATATTAATTTCAAAACAACGTCACTAGATGGCGCTGTACTACTTTACATCGCGATGATGAAGTATTTTCCTCAGTCTACAAGGACGTATACGTTTGTAATGTAGTTATTAAGATTCTCAATAGATGGCGTTGTAGTACTTTAGCCCGCGGTATTAAAGTTTTTTTACTGATCCTATAAGGTCTAAACCGTGTAATATGTATGTAGATCAATCTATAGATCAATATGGTTCAATTAGCCCAAGTACTACGGTGGTTTTATTTACTCACCTATAGTATTAGTGCTAAGTGCAAACTAGATCAGCCAGATATGCGACTTTTAACAGTTGTGTAGTTGCAACTTTGTGGCCATTAGGGGTGTCACGAACTATTTGACATAGACTGTACTACATCAAGTAAATAATTTTTATCTACAACGAGGAAGCTCTTGGCCTGCATCTCACCTGACGGTAAGTGACGATCAGGCCGAAGGTGGAAGCGAGCTTCACCCGGAACCCTCAATCTACAACGAGGAAGCTCTTGGCCTGTATCTCACCTGATGGTAAGTGACGATCAGGCCGAAGGTGGAAGCGAGCTTCACCCGGAACCCTCAATCTACAACGAGGAAGCTCTTGGCCTGTATCTCACCTGATGGTAAGTGACGATCAGGCCGAAGGTGGAAGCGAGCTTCACCCGGAACCCTCAATCTACAACGAGGAAGCTCTTGGCCTGTATCTCATTTGATGGTAAGTGACGATCAGGCCGAAGGTGGAAAAGAGCTTCACTCGGGATCCTCAATCTACAACGAGGAAGCTCTTGGCCTGTATCTCACCTGATGGTAAGTGACGATCAGGCCGAAGGTGGAAGCGAGCTTCACCCAGAATCCTCAATTTAAAAACTAACCCAATCCCGCTGTCACTCCTCCATTGAGCCCTCTCATTAAAGAGTGCGCGGGAAATAGAAAACAATGTGCAGATTAATATCTTTTTCGCGCTCAATATTGATAGTGCCCTCCATCCGGCAGCACTCACGCTGATTGACAATGTCTGTTTTTCCATATCAGATTTGATCTGCAAAAATTTGAGGTTTTCCACGAAGCGCACCCATTTTCAAGCGCACCTAATGAAACGCACCCATTTTAAAGCGCACGTAATGAAGCGCACCCATTTTAAAGCGCACTTATTGAAGCGCACCCATTTTGAAGCGCACCTAATGAAACGCACCCATTTTGAAGCGCACCTAATGAAGCGTACCCATTTTACAGCGCTCTAATGAAACTTATTCATCGAAATAAAGTTCAAAATCTTTATATTACTAAACATAGGTGCGCTTCGAGGAATACCTCAAAAATCTTGGTTCTGCTCCCACTGGGAATCAAACTAGGGACCTAATCTGGAACTAGACCACAAAGGCGCTAAGTAGCGCCTATTACGAAAACATTTGAGCAAAAATCCTATTTATCAGATCTAAATTCTCTACTATAAAACTCTAGGCACTTCATTATACAAACTAATACCCAATTAATTGTACAATATCACTTACTTTACTTACAATGTTACAGCTAAAGTTATCGCCACTTAACTGTCGAAATACATCTTCATTACAACTTACCTGGAAAAAGAAAAACACTCGGTTTAACAAAATTAAAGACAAAACAGATGTAACATAAAATGTAAGTGGATTTTTTTGGCTCGAACACTTTTAACAAATCTACGGGGAGTGTAAAACAACAAGGAAATTGGAGTTTATTTGTGAGAATTGAGGAGAAAATTCAGCACACTCAGTCTGGTCTTTTAACCGATTTCAACAAAAGGAGAAGGTTTTCAATTCGGTTAGTATGTTTTGAGGGCTCCGTAGCCAAATGGCAAATAACGGAACCCTTATAGATTCGTCATGTCTGTCTGTCTGTCAGTCCGTATGTCACAGCCATTTTTTTCCGAAACTATAAGAGCTATACTATTGAAACTTGGTAGGTAGATGTATTCTGTGAACCGCATTAAGATTTTGATGCAAAAATAAAAAATCGGTTAACTAAAAGTCGATGGTCTGCGCCTAGACTTGGGGTTTACCCAAGAGCGGGACCCTAATTACATAACTCTATCTGTGAAAAAGCGACCACGAGCCGGAAAACGTAGCGTGGGCAGGCCTCCCACTAGGTGGACCGACGATCTGGTGAAGGTCGCGGGAGGTGCCTGGATGCGAGCGGCGCAGGATCGGTCTTCGTGGAAATCCTTGGGGGAGGCCTTTGTCCAGCAGTGGACGTCTTTCGGCTGAAAAGAACGATCCGTTTTGATTCATTCGATATTTTGCGATGATCCTATCCTATCCCAAAGATCTTATTACTTCGTAAGCCAATCCAAATCGAAATCGAACAGTATTTTAAACCGTAATCCCAGTTTAAAGCAGTGACATCTTATTACCAAACCATAGACTAAATCGACCCAAATCAACCTATTCAGAACAGCTGATTCATCCAGTTCAACCCTTCATCCTATCTTAAGCCAGGTAAACACTCCCTGTCAGAGGGTAGTAGATTTTTCAACTTCCCGGTCGCGCGAGATAAGGGTAAGCTCTTGACGCTTGACGGAGAAATGAATAGTGTTAAAGTGTGCATATTTTAGTTTAGATTTGATAAAATTAGAGGAGATATTAGAATTACTTTGAGAAAAGTTTATATGTTAACACTTTGAAGAAAACTCAAACTTAGGAAACATCGAAACCATATAATGCCTGGTGGGTAGCGTGGGGGATTATAGAATTGTCGTCTACAGATGCTAGATGGCAAATATTGAAGTGAGTTGATTACGGTATTATATTATGTTTCTATTTCTGCACAGTTTCAATTATTTTATGTCTATCACTTTTAACTGAT